TTAAAAAAAAATTGAGACTGGTGAAAGAAAAAATGAAGAAGCCTTGAAGCAGTCTCTAGAAATTCCAAATGTTTTTTGTTTATTCATGCAAGGCTTACCTGACCTGGTTGGTTCATTTCACACATGTGTGATGTTAGTTTGGACTAAAAGGTTTGCTGAAACATACTGAACTGCTCTTCTTTTTTTGTGGTATAGGAACCTATCCCTGTTCTTTCCATGTTATTTCTGCACCTGGTAGCAAAATTTCTGTTAATGGAAGTAAAACCCAGGAACACATCTACTTCATGAACACACACACACACTGTATAATCAGATAGTTTATCATTAAATTAAATTATAAATAGAATGGAGAATCCCATTTAAATATGTTTCCAGCTGCAGCTATATAGAAGTCAACTCAAAATACAACTCTGTACACTGAACAATTTCAGAAGTGCTATCTTTCTTTCACCACCACCCTTCTTTTAAAGGCTATCTACAGGTTGCTAAGTGCAAAATTTGGACTTAAGAAAACACAAGTTTGTCCCCTGAGCAGTACTGGGGGTGAGGCATACCACTACTTTTGTGGACACTGTTGGATTACAGCCCCCAGCATCCCTGTCCTTGCTGGTGGAGGGTAATGGAATTTGGAGACCAGTATCTGAAGGGTGAATAATTATCCCCATCATCACAAACCAGAAGTTAAGACCAAGTCTGATGTTGACTGTCAAGGAAATTCTGCACATATTTCAGTCTTTTTTAACAGCCGTGTCCCTACACTTTATCCTAAATTTTTAAAAAACCCACACAAATGGTATAGGCATCAAACCATTCTAGTGTCGGGAATTCTGCAGCTCTAGGTGCCTGGGAAAAGAGGCTCCCTACCTCTCTTCCAAAACCATTTCCTCAATTTATGACATCAATTAGCCAAGCTTGTAATGGTCTACCAGGAACTAACTGCCTACATATTTTTTTTTGTTTTAATCTATTTATTTTACTTGGAGCATTTGCTTGTTATGCACTCTGATGCCTCTGAAGAACACTCTTGAACACAGCCCAGCAAAGAGGCAGCTGGCAGGCTCAGGTGGCTTTGTGATCTATTATCTGGTACTATAAATAGCTGCTGGAACCCAGATGCTGGGCTGCTAATGGTTCTTGGAAATTCTCAAGCACACCTTGAAAGGGTGGGTGCAGCAGATCAGTTGCAAGTTAACCCTTAACTGGTCAAGGTTTGATAGCAGCAAAGGGTGTTGGAAGCCAAACATTGTTTGGGTAAGGCACAGGAGGGAAGGAGGGAGGGTGGTTAAGAGGAAAACTTGGTGAAAGACATGGTGAAAGACAATCACTTTGGCTTTGACTCCACGTAGCAGTACAAATAAACAAAACAAAACCTTGAGAAACAGCCTGTTCTTGGGTGTATTCCCCCCCCCCCCCCCGTATTCCAACTCCCATCAAGGGCTGCAGAGTCAGTATGCCAGACCTTCCACTCCAGCTCCTCTATTTTTTTTTTTTTTACTATCTGACTCCTTCATAAATATGTTAATCAGTAATACCAATACCATAGTAAAATTACAGCATAAGGGTATGTCATCACTTGTGCATAAATCATCAGCTTACTCAGATTGATTGAAAATAAACTATAAGTTCTGTTTCACATTTGCTTTATAAAATTTGTTTACAAGAAAACTCTCCTAATTGCCTATGAAACTCAGCATGTAACAAACCTGGCAATTAATATTATACTTTTTTTTTCTTTTGATGATGAAGTCTGCACATTTCTTCTGACTTCCAACCAAAATTGCTTCCAACTCTGACTCCACAGCCTTGCTCCCATTGCCATAACTTTGAATCAGCTAAGTTTGTGCATCATCTACCTTTTACCTCAGAGTTCAGGAAAATCCCTGTTTTGGATTACAACTCCCTGAATCCTCTAGCCAATGTGGCCAGGACATTGCTGGCTCGGGGATTCTGGGAGCCTTATAGTCCCCAAAAGGAACTTTCTCAAGCTCAGTTTTCCCTGAGTTTCACTGCAAAGGTCATTACCCAATTAATGCAGCTTGACACCATCTTAACTGCCATGGAATTCAGGAATTTATAGTTTAGTGAGCTATTCACTGTCAGGATACTCTAGCTCCACAACAAACTACAAATATCAGGATTCCACAAGATGGGGCTATGACAGTTAAAGCGGCATCAAACTGCATTAATTCTGCAGTGTAACAGCAGCCTGAGCAAATAAAATGCTTCTCAGTCTTTGGTCCTTCAGATTTTTATACTTCAAGTCCCAGAAGACTCCATCAGCACAGCCAATATTTAGGAATTCTGGGAGTTAAAGTCCCAAATATCTGGAAGACCAGAGTCTGAGAAGCACTGTTTGAGAGCACAATTTTACAAGCTCTCAGTGAGCAAAGAACACTTTCCACATCAATCTGTTTTCCAGCCCCTGCACAGCATTCAGGGACACATTCTAAATTTATTTATACTTTTATTTTATAAATTCTATAGAATTTATTTATAAATTCTAGGGTGCACACACTGTTTATACAAGGCTCCAGACAAGTGAACTGAGCCTCACTGATGACCCATATGAATGGAGAGGCCAGCTTAGAACTCACCCAGTTCTCTCCACTGAGTTTTAAGAGAGGGGTGAAAACACGTGGTGAAACTATCTTTTTGACAATCTATCCACAACTATCCATCTCAGATAGGTTTCCAAGCAATCCTGCAGCCAGTGTGGTGTATTGGTTATAGGACTGGATTGGTACTTGAGAGATCCAGGTATAGATCCACATTGAGCCATGAAAATCACTCACTAGAGGAAGGAGGGTTTCAAATTTAACAAATACATGAAATCCAAAAGCCATGTTGATAAAAGACAATCAACATATTCATTACTACTATTAATTATATTAATACTTTGCAGTAGCTCAAGACCATGGATGGGATATTTCTCCTTCACTAGCCCATACATGAACTATACTCAGTGAGACAATTGATATTGCATAGTTAATTTAATTATTTTCCTTCAAGAGCAACAGGCCAATATTCTATTCATTAAACTTAATTTAAGCACATTTAAGGTTTGTTTATATATAAATGTAAATGTAGCAATTATCACTCAAATATGAATGAATGACTTTATGTGCTCATGAGTGGGGGGATTTTAACGAGTGTAATATTATTTAATGAAGAATAGTATTAATTAATGTCAGCTAATTTTAATCCAATTTACATATATTTAGCTAATAATATGTGCATTTTATGGGAAACGGTAGCTCAAGTGGTTCAAGTGGTTAAGAC